CCACAAGATGCAGCGTGAAAAGCTTTACAATCTACAAAGGACATCTTATTTGATAATTACACTGTTTCTTTTCAAAATGGACAAAATTCTGAGCCACTAATCTTTGACACTTCGAAAAAAAAGAATTTTTTGGTACACGATGAATTCTTTTTCATATATGCCATCATTTAATGAATCATTCTTTTTAACTTTATCTCATTTTTCGGGCAATCGATTATGGCTTTCGATACAACTCTTTAACTCGAATAATCCGAAAAGAAATTGATCGTGTACCAAAAGATGATCTTGTTGGCAGCGTCACAAATTAGTCGCACAGAATTTCCACCATTTTGAGAAAAAAATACAATTATAGAACGAACGATTCTTTGTAAATTGTAGAGCTTCTCACGCTGCGTTTTGTGGTGTATTTTGTTTTTTTAACACAGCGTATTAAGTGATGGAAAAATGAATCGGAAAAAGGTATCTTTTTTTTATCCGAGAGAGACTTTGGCCTTCAAGGGGCCCCGCACAGACAAGGTTCTTCATCAGTAACTCAGATATACACTATATATTCATTTTCTTCGTCTCTTTGATAAATCAGTTGTCTCAGTAAAATTTTTTTGTTATGCATAACAGATTTCATAATTGTTTTATAGTAAAAAACATTCAGGTATACACTAATATCTGACTGATATTTTTTTGTTGTGGCTTTCAAGAAATTTGTTCAGAGGACGATGTTTACAAGTTTTTTCTTTGTAAGATAAAGAAGAAGGTTTCTAAATGATATTTGAATCACATACGTACTTGAAACAACTCTGGTAAACCAAAACTCATAAGATTTTAGCGAAAAAGAGACGCATCTCAAACTGTTTTATAATAATTCTCGTCAATTGAAACTTTACAATAAAAAGATCAAAGATCATGATTTTATATGATTCTTGAAACAAAAATGTGTATCATTACAATATTTCTTAATGAACTTATGTCCTTCAAATTCTCAAAGCAATTAAAATCAGTCTGGTTTTAAATGATAGACACATTCATTCTATATCAAATTAAAAAAGTTGACTATTGTACAATGTTATCTTCAGTTCCTTCAAAATGTTCAAAACACTTCTTGAAGACTAAAGCAATGGCAAACAATGAAAATAATATCTTTAAGGGATATTTCACTATAAAAATAGTTAAAATATTCAATGAATTTTCGGCTATAAGAAAAGTATTAAGAATACATGCATCAAACCCGAATACTCAGGTTCGGTCTTGACTGTAGTCATTTTCAGTAAATGTATGGGTTGGTATGTGGGGTGTGCAGATGTGGATTTATGAATGTGGCTGGGATGTGGCGATGACTGTGAATGAGATGAGACATTTGTTCGTCGATATTTACCCTTGCCATCCCGCCCACACTCCACACTCACGCACGAATGGATCATGATCGATCAAATGGGACCGAGATCAGAGAGTAAAAATAGCCAAGCACATTTCGACTTGCTTTTATGATAGATTGGAAGAAATGGCGAATAACAGATGAAGATTGACTGTTTTGATGAATAACTTGTGTCATTTCCATACTGAATTGTGATAGCTTCACATTCCCTGAGACTCTCGTTCGGAGTCGTTTTTCGAAAGAATAATTCACGTGATGTAAGAGACTCAAAGCCATTTCAAGATTTTCGATTGCTGCAACATATTCTCCTTTGCATTGACACATTCGAGAGATACTTATGCGCGCTTGATGTGCAAATTTAGTATTCAGTGAAACATTCTCGTCTTCGAGATAAAGTCGATAGTACTACTCAGCTTCATTGTACTGTTCTGTGTCTTCGAGATATTGACCTAGCAAGAGAAGAACAGGTGTATCTCTTGATGATTGATGAAACAACGAGCAATGATCTTTCATGGTAAAACTATCCTCCAAAAGTATCATTCAAACGTACCAGATGCCCGTAGATTCAAAGTGTTCGATCAATTTTAATTGAAAAAAAAGTACCCATCGATATCAAGACTTCGTACTCGCCAGGAATATAACTGCACTCAGAGATATCGGCAAATGGTTTGCAATTTTTAGAGCCATCGAGTTCATGTTCAAATATCACAGAAGTTAGCTCCGAATGGCTTCCGAATCCACTGAATTCATACGCGACATCGTAACAAAATGTTGTTGATAGAAATGTATTAGTAAAGAAGCTGTGTCCAATGTTCTGCTAATTCAATTTGCGATATTAATTGACCACGATACGCATGAATTCGATCTCTCCGGCGTGGTAAATTTGCCAATTGTGTATAAAGGTCGTGAATAAATGAACGAAATATATAGATGAAATGGATAGATTCCGAGCGACAAGCTTCATTGAATAGACGATAGATAAAAGCATCCCACGAATACCATCTAATAGCGTTGTTTTTCTCAAAACTCGTCTTCGCAAACTCATCAATTTTCACCTGTTCTTGTTCATTATCTTTGTAGCGCAATCGACAATGATTGAGTAATTCCTCACGCGATTGTATCGTCGGTGACATACGTGCTAAATATTGAACAAGCAATTGAAACCGTTTTCACCAATAGCTACACAAAGATATTTGTTGATCATCACTATTAATCCCGTGACGATGATAAATTTTTGATTCATTTCTTGAATATTCGTTCATGACATCGATCTCTTCTCTACATAGCTAAATTTGACGAGCCAAATGTGTCTTTCGATACACTGCATTCGGGCACCATGGATAAGTACAGTCAAAAATAAGTACAGCGGATATATTTGACATGTATAAAACGGTAGGATATTGATGTAAAAAGTCATAGAGCTTCGGAAAATCAATGTCTAGTAGTAACACAAGTGTGATTGAGTGTTTGTGATCAGTATTCGAAATCACTTTCAAACACACATCGATCGTTTGGAATACGGGCCAATCGTTCGACGAGACCTTGAGGTATCTATCTCGGTCGTATAACATAATGCTCTCGGTTGTTGACAATTGTTGTAGGCGATCTTTTAACATCTCTGCTGAATAGAAGACAAATATCGATTGCTTTTGTTTGGCTAAAGTGCGAAAAATGCTACTACTTGACAAATTCATGTAGATAGTAATTATTGCTGGACATGAGTAAATTTCATGCCAAATGCTTGGCTTTCTTACTTGATGCTGACCAGTTACTATGAACACGATAGTATGATCACGCATAGACAAGATATAATTCAGACAAAATTGTGCATCTTCAAACGTTGTTAAAATAGCCTTCAATTGTTGTAAGTATCTAATCATAGAAGTGTTCTGATCGAGATTCAGATAAAAAATTTCGCCATCACTCGTAGCAGTCATCCCGTCGTTCAATTTTGTAGCCCTTGTTGACACATATTTGCTATACGAGTTACTATTCGTCATCGTTATTTTCTGCAAATGCACTGAGTTTAGGCTGAGGATGTGCTAGTTGAATTCACTAGTTCAACTAATGTCACCTACCGTCAATACAAGATGGTCCACTTGGTATACTTGAATAATCTTAAAAACCTCGAACTATGATGATTGGCCAGATGAGAAGCGTAAAACCTATGTCAACAAAAACAGCATGTTACATTGACTGCAGGCATGCGCGAAAGGAATTATTGTCCTATCCACTCGTTTCCATTCGTGATCATAGTACACTTTCAATTGTCGGATTTGTCTCAAGTTCCAAGTCTTTTTTTCTTGAATTTCTCAGTTTCCTGTTTTATTAATCATCACGGATCGAGATTCATTGTAAAAAAAAAGGGATTTCAATTTTTTTATTTACTATGTTGACCTTCGTGTAGATTATGTTTGAGAACTATGGTGATGTTCTACGAGGAGGAATCGTATGAAAGCAAAACATGTCCGATACACGCATATACTCTTACTTGAATGTTGTGTCGTGTATCCTGTTTTATAATGTTTGAAATTGCTGTAATAGAAAGGCCAAAGTTTGAATCACAATGCGTCTTATCAAAACATAAATATATGATGATAATCTCATTTTTCTTTCCCGTTCTTCTATCAATACGCGGGTTTTTCATTTTTCCTCGTGCTCGATATTATTATGACATGCGTCGTTGGAAAAAAAGAAGCAAACATAAATATGGTTCTGGTACTATGAATTATAGTAGAGATCACATCAACAATACTATCTTAAGAATCCGATGTGTGGGTAGATGTGTGTGTGAGTGAGTGGGAGCGTGTGGTATGAGTGTCAGTATGATTACGTGGGTGTTGGTGTAGCAACTGTGAACGTGGCTATGATTGAATAAGGAGAAGACCCACATCCACACTCCATTAATAAAAATTATCATAGAATATAGAATTAGTTCCATAAAGAGGATGTGGGTATTGATATGGATGAAGGGTATGGGTGTTGTCCTGTTCTTCAACAATAAACCCACACCTCACACCTACCCACATCCACACCCTGAACAGGCTTTAAAGGGTGGATTAACCATAAACGTATATTTTATTTAGGAATTGGTTGTAAGCATCACACTTTGTAAGAAATCATAGCCTATCTGTTGCCTTTACAGTATTCATGAGCTCAAAAAAGGCTTAAACGTTTCTGATATCAGCATTTCACAAAAGCTCTATAACTGTATTTTTTAGGGTTTCTGAAGCTTTGACAATCGTTGTTCAGAAACCCTTTAAGAGTTTCCTAGGGTACGTTTGTTTATGAGCGTACATGGATTCGTTTTCGAATAGCTCTTTGTATGTTGTTACTGAAGTTTTCATGCTTTAGTTTGCGAGCTGATTCATACCACTCATATTGCTTTTAATTGTGTTGATAAAAGGAATAGAAAAAAGCAAATACATCGAAATAATGACTTTCTTTGCAGACACAAACTTGAGTAAGAAGGCAAATGGTGTGTGCGCAAAAACAGTGACTCGACGTTTTCATAGCTTTTTCATACACGATTATTTTGTTTTCATTACTACACGTACAAAGGTAAGATGATGTCTCTCTACAATAATTTTATATTCTATGAAACATTGATATTCATATTCTATCAACAGAGATGGCATCAGAATCTGAATCAAATCAATGTTCGATGTGTCAGAAGAGCACCGGAAAATGTATATGTGATGGATGTAAAAACTATTTTTGCATCAAACATTTTAATCAGCATCGTCAACAGCTCTCGGTGAAATTCGATGATGAAATTGTCATCACTCATGATGAACTTCTGGAACAAATGAATAGAGAAAATCAATCGAATGCTTGTGCTTCGAAACTTTTCGATGAAATTGATCGATGGAAGACCGTAACAATTGAAAAAGTTCATAAAGCAGCTGAACAGGTTCGTGATCAACTTACTCAACTGCTCAATCGAGAAAAAGATACATTGACACAAGAACTAGGACTAATGACAAAAGAAATTCGTGATCGACGAGACGAAGACGATTTTGATGAAAATGATATTGAACAACTTCGACAAAAACTAAATCAGATACAAATATCACTAGAACAATTTATTCGACTAACAACAACGAAAGTCATCATAGTAACAAACGATCGAATTGATTGGAATCAATTCATCTACATCGAAAAAGAAGACAACAAAAGGCGTGAGTGGATTGAAAACAATATGTGATCGAATATTTGTGCTAGTTGAATTAGCAAAGAAACTTGAAGAAGTTTTTGTCTCGTTTTCGGGTTCAACTTTCTAAACATGAATAGATGTTCACGAGATTCAAATATTCTTAGGGTAAATTATTTTGTCAAAATCTTGTGCTATGAAAGTCTGTGAAACTCTTTCTAATTTCATTTAATTGAGTTCTCCACCATATCGAATAACAGTGAATATCCGATATTCGACGTAGAAAATGAAGTAGTCGACATATTGAACCAAATTTATGTTTAGTATTGAAAACTAAATTGTTGACTTTGTTTAAGAGTGTTCCTAATCGTTGTAAAAGTGATCAGATACGATTCATATAAAAGAAGTTACAATTTAAATAGTTTATGACGAAATCATCAGTCTATTCAAGAAGACACCGTGTTGAATATCGCTCTAAAAAATTATTCTTAAAAAACCATTTTTGATAGCAAAACGAACATTTCTATAAGTACTCCAATATCTTTCTAAACTGCGAAATTCAGTATAAATTCAAAACAAATCAAAAACTTCAACTAGAACTACATTATATAACTCCTATTGACATCATCGATAATTCTCTGACAGTTGAATTACGCTACTTGCTGTGATCAAATATTAAATATCAACATTTGATAGCTATTATACTGCATTGACTTTGCTTTAGACATTGTAAACTCTTTAATTGTAAAGATTTCAGTTGAATTTAGATCCAAATTTTCGGTTTCTTTCTAATATACCTGTGTTTAACTATTTTCTGTTGTTCTTATTATTTTCTTACAATTATAACAATATCTAATATCCTGAATGCAAACGAAAATTGAGTCATGGAATGTCACAATAAACCACTGTTTGTTGTAGTTTATGTTTCTATTTTGTGAAACATGGCCTAAAACAAGTGTTGAAGCATAGGAGTGAAAATTTTGACAATATCCTTCTCGGACTTATAAACCGTGACAGACGCTAGCCAGATACCATCAAAAACTGTAGATCACTAACGTCTCGTTATAATATATGAAGTACTTGCTTACTGCATTTCTGGAGAATTGAGTAAAATAATTGTGACGAAATGTGTCCCAAAATACATAAAATAAAACAATCGCCCAATGATTAGCAAGAGCAGCTACATCCTGTTGCCCATTTGAATTCGACAGAGACTCAGTTATTCACTTTGCTTTTCACTTCAAATCATCATATAGGTGACAACCCATTACAGAATCAAATTTTTCAATAATAAGTCTTCTTACTAAAAACTCAAACATATCCGTTTTATTATTGGGATCAATTGGACATCATCAAAAATCTATAAATCCAAAATGTTAGCGTTTTTCAGTTAATCTCTTTAAAAGACCGGAGCGCATAGAACCACAAATCGGTCCTCTGAATGTTTTTCTTCCAATCAATTCGAATTGTATACTGGATGAAAGTACTCGTTTAGGTCCACATTTTGATACTAAATTCAACGTATTAGTACTGAGTTTGAGAGACTTTGAGTCATCCAACTAATATCATAATTTCTCCCTGACACAACGAATACACATACATCTTCAAAGACATTTTAGTTTTTAACATTCAAATAAATATTTTTTTTCTTGTCTTACATATTTGAGAGATCTTTTTAACGGCTACACAATTGCGTATTTGTCGAAGGCACAAAAATCTCATTCACTTAACTAACATTGAGACAAACTCGACTGTGAATGCGCCGGCGGTTCGAAGTACGGTTGAGTATCCATAAAAGATTCTCCCCCTGCACCCACACCCTTATCCATATCTCGTACGCACACCTCACATCCAACAACGAGTACATCAATGTCATTTTCTTTTGGATCTTAACTAGCTACAAGTACAAATATATGTTCGACGCTATCCACATCGACACCTTTCGGTACGACAGCTCAAACGGCTACAACAGATATATTTGGTGTTCCAACTTTTACAAGTCCATTTTGCACTCTACCAGTTACAACAAGTATATTTGGTACAACAAACAGTGCAGCTGCACCTGTAATTGATGCTGCGACTAATACGCCATCATTCACATATTGTGATTCTACTGTACCCACAACAATAGCAACAAGTATTTTTGGTACTCCAGCTAAATCATCACCTAATACATCTCCAGTTTTTGAACATCTTAGTACACAAACTACTGCTCCAGCTACAAAACCGTTTTCATTTTCATCAACAAAAAGAAATACTGCACCGTCTCCATTTGGCACATCGGCACGAACAACAGCAACTTCGTCAATTATTTATTCGCAACCATTTACTAGTTTTAGTGTTACTCAAACTCAGCCAGCAGCATCAACAACAACTTCATCATTTGGTTTTTCTGCACCATTTGGATCAACAACAACAGATTTTAGTGCACCAATAAATATCACTCAAACACAAGTTCAACAACGATTTCTTGCTGCATCACTTCTTGATCCATTTGCTAGTTGTAAAAAGAAAGATTTCAATAATATTGATCAAATAAAGCCACCAAACGATTTAATTGTTGTTTCAACTTCATCAATAACACCAACAACAATTACAACATCAACATCATCACCGATAGGATTATCTTTACAATCAAATTCTCGTAAAATATCATCGTCAACTCGTCCATTAGTAGATATAGGTTTTAGATTAAAACCTGTTTCTTCATCACCATCAGTGAATACAACTAATGACGAAATAAAGTCATCTAATCAACCAATATCATTAACAACAAGACAAATTGAGAGCCCATCGACATCAGATTATAATGATGAAGAAGAAGAACTTAGTTTAATTGGAAGAAATAATATGTCAAAAAAAAGTTTATCAAATGATTCTATTAATTCATCATTTCAATCAGAATCTACTCGTTCACTTTATCCATTACAACGTCTTGCTGAACTTGAAACATTAGCAAATATAAATAATAATACAAATATGGCATCTAGTGTTCATACAACACCATCACCAGTAACAGCTTCAACAACAACACTCGATACTGCTTCAGCTCGTGTTTCTTTAACGACTGTTAATAATGAACAAAGTCTAAATTCACCAAGTATGTTTATTTGAAACAAAAATGACGTCGTCGAACTTTGTGAGCTACCCTGAAATAGGATGGCATATGTATGGTTTTATAGAGCAATTTGTGGCGCATTGAGTGGTGTATAAGAAATCAAGTTTTATGGGAAATTTTGATATGCTAAAGGTCGATACATTGATAATAATGCTTGTGTGATATTATAGGGTACTCATAGACATTTTGATCTCTAAGATAAACTTATACAAATATTGTTTTTAAACTCAATTCGATACAGTCATAGATACTCTTCAACATTCTATAATCAATAGTTTTCATCGTTGCTTTCTTCAAACTCTGGATCACAGAACAAATAAGTAACAACGCAAAATTTTATTTGCACGATTCTTCTCTAGAATACTCTATTTTCCTATTTGAAAGAACTGATATATCGAGAATATTTTAACAATACTAAATGGTCCTATTTAAAATGTTGATGTATTAATAACCAGCATAGTATCCTTGATGATATGATATGAATATCTTCTTTATAAATGGAAAACATTTTCTATCTCCAAACCCTGAAGAGAGGTACGGAGATAAAGAAAAATTTATTTTTGAAATGAACATGAAATATTTATAGTTTCTTATAGAGTTTCATGCATAAGTCAAACCTGAATACTCGGCATACGAATCCAAACAAGCAATAATAAAAATAACAGACATCCTTCTTATAATCCTATAGTCGTACTCCTCGAAAGGAATCTGGACGTCAAAAAATCTTTTCTCGTTTATGAAGGAGTTATTTATAGCCGCTTATCAAGAAAAGCTGTGCTAGTCATTGATACACAATATTTTTAATAGGGCCGTAGATTATTGCTAAAATATTGTCAATACACCGGTTTATTCAAATACGAAAATTGACTATTCTAGAGAACCATCTTGCAAGTTGACAGTGTGTGTCTGCTTTTTCCAAAGATGTTATCTGTGAAAACATAGAGCTGGATAGTGTGCTGATTTTAAGAAAGTTTTTCGCTGACGCCCATTTCCTCTGCGGTACAGTTGAACACACTGGAATATCATATAGTCAAAAAATAATCTAGGTCTAAGAAAATAACCAATCTCAAGTATGAAGAAAGCAACGATGAAAACTATTGCTTATTGGAAATTGAAAAGTACGTATAACTGAATTAAATTAATTTTCAATAGAAATTTACATAACTTTGTCTTAAAACATCTTAGGAACCAAAATGTACATGAGTATCCTGTAATATCCTTCAAGCATTATAACCAGTGTATTGACCCTTAACGTATGAAAACTTCTGTAAAACTTGATTTCTTATATATTATCCGATGTGCCTGCATTTGCTCTATCCAATGACAAAATATGACATGCCAGTTGAAGATAGATCACTGACATTGGCGAAATCCTTTTTAGTCAAAAACATTGAACAATATTTTGAAAATCTTTTACTTTTATTTGTTTAGATAGCAATCGTGGAATGTTACCTATTCATCATTCAACTCCATTTATTGTTCATAAACAATCATCACCTCCCATGTCTCATCCATCAACAACACTTGTTCAATCACTAACATCTTCGTCTCCACCATCAACATCAATTAATTCATTTCAACGAACAAAACCTTTACATGATTATGATTATACAAACATAACAAAATCGAATTCTAATGCTTATCATTTACCAAAATTAACACGTGAATATTATTATATGAAACCATNCAGACATTAATGAGATGATTTACCATTGTTTTTGTGGATACTCTGTAGACCCACGGAAAAAAAATTTCAAAAAAACCGCGGTAGGCAATGGTATTAAAAACCGCGGTTTCGAGCGGTTTTTCCCGATACACTAGAGTGAACCGACTCCAGCATGCCGACCATAACCTGAAGCTTTCAGGCATGGTGCCCTTCTAGGGGCAGCGAAGTGAACTCTCTCGAGCTCCATTTCCACAAAGTACCATTGTAGAGTCCGATGAATTATCTGTGTAATGATCGAAAAATTTGGCAGAAAAAGTGGGACACGACATCTTGACTGTCCTTACACATTACTTTACACTTCGATATGCATGGCGGTTTTTCATAGCAACATCGCGGTTTCCTGAATCACGGTTCTGTAAGTGACGAACGCGGTTTTTAAAACCGCGTTTTCCAGCGGTGTAGCAGATCACGGTGCGGATACGGGAAACCGCGGTTTCTGAAACCGTTACTAACCGCGATATAGAACACTGAGATTTCGTCACAGAAAATCGCGGTCCTTCTAGTTACACCGTGGTGGCTTCAAAGAATCGCAATAAACTTTATTTTTAAATTTTCGTGGCTTCGTTTTAAAATAAAATGAATCTTCTACCATAGGAATTCTCTTGAAACAGTCTACATTAACAATCATTCGTTTTTATTAATTTATCGAATAGCTAATACTGTTTTTTTGTGGCTCTACTTCAATTCCTCCTCAACAGAAACAGATTGAAAAATAAATAAAAGCTGTAGCATTTTTTATCAGTCGATTTGTGAAATTTCTACCACAATAATTTTCAGATGAATCGAAAATCGTTCTATTGTGCTAGATTAAGTATCTTCTGGTATATCAGCTTAAAATGAAAATGATAGTGAATAGATGTATTTCAAATTAATAGAGATTTCTTTTAAACAAAAGAAAAAGTCACCGCGGTTATAATAGAGAACATCGCGGTTTAGAAAGCCGGTGATAACCGTTATATGTGAAACTGCGGTTATGATACAGTAAACCGCGGTTTATAAAATCGGTGATAACCGCATCATTCGAAATCGCGGTTCATTTAGAATGCGGTGCGACAAACTGCTGTTAATCGCGGTTTCTTTCTAAAAAATGTTCCGTGAGTGCCATTCTAGAAATCGGTTAAACGCTAAATTTAAAATTTTTTGGAGTATGTTTTTAATATGTTAACGTTTTGATTCACATTTGAAGGTTAAATTTGTGTTATCACCTTTTGTATTACGATTATTTTCTTTGAACATCTTTTCAAAAATCATTCTTCGCATGTTAAGAGACTGTATGTAAAAATTCGCAGCGAAAGAGATGCATTTAATATCAACGGAAAATTTTATTGAAAAAGGGTGCTTCTACAATAGTAATGAGACTTGTTATTTTGCTCGCTAGCCAAATTTCAATGAATCATCATAATTTTCTAACTTTCGCATCATCGTACTTTTTCGAAATAATACTCTTGTGGAAAATAACCATTACGAAATGTCTTGATTAACATTTATCTCTTTCAATCAAGTTTCTTAAAACATGAACGCTACTTTTTTAACTTCACTTCAATACATTTTCCAATATATACGATTTCAGATAACTATTACTTGCGGCATTTATTATCACTTTGCTTGCTCAATTTGCATTACGATATAGTACAAGCAAACCACATACTCAACTACTGTAGTTCATCTCAATCAAGCATCAACTGTTAAATCAACCTAAATCATGACTGAACGTAAGCCAGCGTAATTGAAATCGATAGCCATTTCATAAATCCTAACCAAACTAACCGCGCTTATAACTGCACACACCGGGGTCCGAAAAAACCACTAACAACCGTTATATGTGAAACCGCCGTTATGATATAATAAACCGCGGTTTATAAAACCGGTAATAACCGCTATATTTGAAACCGCGGTTATGATACAGTATACCGCGGTTTATGAAACCGGTGATAACTGCTATATTTGAAACCGCGATTATGATGCAGTAAACCGCGGTTTATAAAACTGGTAATAACCGGTATAATGAAAACCGCGGTTTATGAAACCGGTGATTACCGCTAAATTTGAAACCGCGGTTTTTTGTGAACGCCGTGCAAGAAACCGCTGTGAACCGCGGTTTTCAGCGGTTATCGAATAGACATCGCGGTGGTGTGCGATGAAACGGCGGTTTTCGTATAACAATTTTTCCGTGGGGATAGTGCTAAAAGTCGGTCCGAGCTAACTTTACTATAAAAAGTCCAAATGAGCTAAAAATTTATGGTTATTAGTTTCAGGCATTGTCCTTTCGAATGCACATAAAAAATCAAAAATTTAAATTTTGACGAGTGCTTCGTATGCTGAGGTCATGTTCGATGATCTCATGGAGGCTGTCTTAATAATGTCATCTGTTTTAATTTCATTAATTCAAAATCGCATTCCTCAACATATAGATAATCTCAATGAAGTTAATGACTTGATCGAATTCAATGATGATTTTCATCTGTTTGATAATGATCATCCATAATAATTTGATGTCTACTAGAATATTAATTGAAAGTCTGATTATCTTCTGTTTATTGCATTTCATCAATTAAGTGAACATTTGTCACAAATATTCATTGATGTTACTGATGATAAATGTTTAAAAACGAAATTATATTTTAAAGATTAATTTTTACCATAAAAAGGTTACCTTAAAATATATTTTTGTATACATTGATCAATAATATATTTTTGCTCGTTTCGACTAGACTATTACAAAAATATTTGATGGATAAAATCAATTTAACAAAAAGTATTTATCAAAGCATCAACTGACATATAAGCATGATATTTCGGTTTTTATTCGTAAAAGAGAAAAGTGGCGAATAGAGCAACAAACAAAATGCTATTTATAAACAAAAACAGATTACTTTGGTATATATATTCTCTTGCTGGAATTTATATAGATGAGAATGTAATAAATTCAACACATTGTTATTAATATAAAATCATTCATGTATCTCTCTCAATATAAGTAATTATAAAAATAAATAAACTAGTTATAAAACTTTTTCTATATTGATCAATAATATTATATTATGATCTATTTAATATTTTTTAGTACTTTTCAATTTTATGTTTTATTATACAGAAGTTTCGAGTTGATAAAGGCATTCAATCATTGAATAATTTCGTTATTGGAAAAAAAAATGAGAAATCACAGAATATAGAGAAATAATCATCATTTGTATTTTTATTTAAAATATTCAAACATCATGAACTTCTACATATGATGGTGGTGATGCTTCACGTGTACCATCAATTGTAGATACACACATTTTATTCTGTACTACAAAAGATCTACTTTTCTTGGATGGTTTTTGTTGCTTCGGTGAACAGCAAAGATTTTCGAGAATTTTACATGTACCAGCAATTACAACCAAACCAAGAAAAATATAAAGAATAATTTTCACTGTGGGATATGCCTTGTCCCACCATGATGAACGATGATAATGAATCGTAAATATACTTGAAGATGAAATCAGATTGGTAAAATGAGTAGAACTACTCCAAAACCACCATAGATGTTGCGAAGGACGGGTAGTAATGATAGGTGATATAATGGGATTTCGAGTTGTCAAATCAGCAGATGTAGATCGAACAGTTATCGGATGTAAAGGAACTGTTTGAACATGAATTGGATGGATGACAGGTACATTTTGTACACCATCAATAATGAATACATTAATGATCAGAAAACTGATGAAAAACTTCATGACTATGTAGATGTAATAGGATACATATCTTTTATATTTGCTGATGTCCTGATAACACGATGTAATGACGCAAGTTTTTATCTTCAGCTGTCTAATGACACATTTTGTTTAAAATACGTCAAACTAAGTTACTAATACTATTCAAATCTATTTAGAAGAGGAATGATATACGTAAGAAAACGTATTTAAAATTTTTTTCAAGTGCATTCGTTTGTTTTAAGCAGTGAAGTCTTTTGAGAAAAGTTTACATGTATCAATCAATCCTTAAAAAGTACAAAAATTCATTCTTCACAATATAGACTTTGATCGTGAAACATCAGATGACATTTTAGTTGCTTCTTTTTTATCATATTTATTTGTGATACAATATAGAATATAAATTTTATTTATCTATAATAACTTGCTGAAAAAAAATCTACAAAAAGATAAATTTGTATTTCTTCTATCGAAAATTTACTATAGGTGCATTTGTATTCACTCATTTTACTCATTTATATCTTCAATTATCTAAATAATATGCAGTTGCATGTATTTGACAAGGAACAGATTGTACTTCTCCTAAGAACGTTATCCATGGTTTACTTGATTTGATCTTGTTTTATACTGCTTACAAGATGAGATAAATCCTATAATATAGAATAACTAATCATATGATAAATATGATGCATTAAAAGTTAGAACAACAAAACAAAAATAATCATCTTCATCAATAACTTTATTGAAACTATTAGTTTCTTTAATTGTTTGTTCTCAATATTGTCTCATACTGTAGTATCTAGTTTCATTTCTTATAAATACGTATATGATTTTCTTACGTGTCTCTGACGGAGCACTAGATACATATACACCATATTTATCATGAAGCTTTTTTATAACTGAATTATTGATATATTTGTCAGTATCATTGCAAACTATCATCAACGATTACAAAAAATGCTGGAGAAATTATTTTTCTACATATACCGTACCACTTTGTCTACTAAAGAAAATGAAAATTTCCGTTGCTTAAAAGTAACTAATAAATTTTCTCGAAAGTCTTTATAGTCTCTTGCTAGTATTAAGTATTCATCAAAAAAGTGTTTATTTTACTCTACTATAAAAGTCGCATATATATAGAACGAGAAGGTGGTCTTTGAAGGATATAAAGTCAGATTTATCTGAATATGCAACTTCTTTTTTACATTATGAGTATAGAAAGAATGTGAACAGACAATAGTGAACAAGTCTTCGCCCCTCTACAAATTGATGTAAGACTAATATAAATAGACAGCATTAGACATTTTCTGATCAGAATCACCATCCATTCCGTCTACGTCGTTTTTTATCGTTACCGTTGAAATATGGCTTTACCTATATAACAGTGATATGAACTTGCCTTTCATTCTAACCGTTCATTGTGTCCAAAGCTCAGTCATAAGACTGTGACGAAAAAGCAGTCAAGTGTAGTACGGTGATGGTGAAATATTGGTTCAATCGATAGAAATCGTCGAAAGATTTTAGCGCTTCAACTTGAACTGATCAACCACATGCAATGATCCCAAAACAAGATCAACGAATTGTTTCTCTCACTTAGCAGCAAATGATTAACATCAGTTGGGACAGTGCGAACAAAATAAAGTGAAAATGAGTCTCATTCACCGACAGAATAGTGCGACGGTGCTTGAACGAATTAGAAGTGAAATACAGTCGAACCATGGTAAAGCTATTGCTTATAGAATGCCATTGTGAGAATTATTTAAGGGTATATCACCCCCTTTTTCGACCAAAAACTGGATTTCGAGTTTGACATAAGATACAATGGCATCAAGTGTTGCGTCCAATTAGACACATCATTCGACTCTAAACACCTTATTGTTATAGAGTTATTGAATTAAAGAATTGTTTTTTATGAGTGATTATAAGGAAATTTTTTTCTTTCTCTTAGTGTATTGCAAAATCACGATTATCTCAATCCTGGTTGCTTACGACTTCCCTCTAACTTTGTCCGATCGGGCTGAAATTTTCACCACTAATACTTGGAAATATTCTCCAGAGGTAAAATCGAGGGTTTTCGTTTTTGACATTCCTACCCGGACTTACAGGATCCTGGATGCGAAGACTTGTGTTTTGACCCCCTATCTTAGCGTATTTCTCTTATAAAAAGAAAAGAAAGTGAGATTTTTGAAAAAGCTCATATTAGTCTCTGAGGAATAGTCTTAGGTATCTCAAAAAAAAAAATTTCAGTCCAATCGGATAATGTTTCAGGGGGATCATAGTGTACCACGATGTGAACCTCTGGAAAACTAGGATTTCTCAGAAAATCTTGCAAAAATCTACTTCAAATTGTTTTTTCGAACACGTATCTCTTTATTTTTGGTGCTCTATTTGTACTGAAAATTTCAGTTTGATCGGTTGTACCGTCTTCGAGAACCAGAAACGGTCAAAAAAGAGGGGGGTGGGTACCCTTAAAACGAGTTCAAGATCATAAAGCTACGAGCGAGGACTAAATGATATTTTGTAATCATACTGCCATTTATCTAGGTACCGTAAAATTATTGGTTTGGATTATGCCAAGAAAAAGAAGGTTGTACGAACCGTCAAACATCCAACCAAAGTCAATGTGTCGAGTTGCTTCTTAACTCAAGACTTTAGTCACATCATCTACTCCAACAGGGGCCTAGATACGAAATTGATGCTTGACATTTTTAAATGTGACTTCTTTCTAACAGTCAGAAAACAATTCGATCCCAATTCAACTTATTGGAAATTTCAACAAGACAACGATCAAAAACATACGTCAAAAATAGCAACCAATCGAAAAGTGAATAATAGGATTCATAAAATAACGGGTGGGTCGAAAATTTTGAGACAAAATGTTTGCTCATTTTTGGCCCATTTAAAAGTATTTCAGACGAGTGGAAACCTATGAATTAGAACGAAAATTTTGTGCTCTTTCTGAATATGAGTGTAGAAATTTCGTGTCACATTTTGTTCAAGAGTAATGAGGGAATCTTTGAATGGCCTGAAAAATTAGTTTGAACAAAAAATTTTTTCGCATTTTTTTATATTTTAACTATTGTGATTCGAAACTTAAAGTCAGAATCTTTATTACTCTATCAGCTGATAGAGAAAAATCTGCCCTACAACATGTACTATTTGAGGTTTTCGTGGTCGTTAGACAAGACACTTCAGTTTTTGTTTTTCCTACAGCCTCATATTTGAAAAATCGACTTTTTCATCAAAAGACGTTTCACATAAACAGGAGCTTCTGACAAAGTGCATATAATTTCACTTGTGTCAAAGCTACAACTTAATTCAATATTACATCTTCTAAAGAAGTGTCCGCTCTACAAAAGTACAGTGTCCGATAATTTTTAACATCTTCGCAAAGGGACATATATGGGTTAGGAAAAACCTGTTTATGTGTCATCCAAATTAGTTTGTACAGCGTTCAGAGATTCCTTCAGCGCTCTTGAATAAAAACATACACAAAATTGCTAAGCCCATATTCAGAAAGAGCACAAAATTCTGGTTCTAGCCTGTACCTTTTGACTAGTTTGATATATTTTCAAGTAGGCCAAAATGAATAAAGGTTGTGCCCAGAAACTTCGGCGCATATATTCTGCCCAAACAAATTTTTCAGACCTTTCGAAGACTCCCTCACTACTCTTGAACAAAACCAGATACAAAATTTCTAAGCTCATATTCAGAAAGAGCACTAAATTTTCGTTCTAATCCATAGGTTTCGACCCGTCTGAAATACTTTGAAGTGGGCCAAAAATGAGCAAACATTTTGTCTCAAAACTTTCGATCCACCCTTTAAATTGGTTGTCGACGTCTCTAGATCTTGCATCCATCGAAAATGTTTGGCAACTTCTCGAAATTAGCTTACGAAGAAAAAACCTCACAACTTGTCAATTGTTGACTTCTGCAATAAAATGTTAATGGAATACCCTACAACCGGAATTGGTCATCAAACTTGTACATAGTACCAATGATCGAATTTCTGAAGTAGTTGAAAGTCAGAGTGGTTTTATATTGCATTAATAATCAGGATATGCTATAAGTTTCTAATCAATAAAAGAGTTTCCATCGTATAACAATATTTAGTAAAGTTACAGTGAAATGAAAACTTTCGTCCACTATTCTATGTCTTTGTTTAACTATTGAATTATAGCTTCATACCACTTCTGGATGATTCTGAGGTAAAAGATTTGTTTTTCAATAGTGGAGATATAAATATAATCTGTTCTCAATTATAGTATGTCACTTTTAAGTTATAACGAATCTTAAAAATTGGCTGATATTGTTTCATTTGCTGAATTATTCGAGAAGTTTGAAATATCTTCGGATACTAGAATATATTTTCACAATTTAAGAGAATTTTAAAGAATACTAATAGAGGAAAAATATTTCTCAGAAGAGCTTAACGCAATGATTGAACGAAATACGGCTCAATACAATAATTAAGTTGGTCATCAAGCAAATATGTGTCAAGTGTTAGCACTGGTTATATAGTTTATTGGGAAAAGAATAAAGACATATATGTTCAACAACAATAATCAAAAAAGGAAAATGCGTGTATTTATATATGTTGGTAGAATCACGCCATATATTGAACAATAATAGTACATAGAATGATGATCACACCGTATGTAGAATAAAAGGTTATTGGAAGATGATCGTGCCATATATAGAAGGCAAAACACAATGTGATTAAGATGATCAGATGATGGCAGGGTCATCAAGGATTACTTCGATAACATCAAGAAACAGTGAACACATCAAATATTTATTTTTAAACATTTTATCTGTTGTCTTAATATTATATTAAATTTTTTACAGAACACTTTTATTTTATAAAAGCGCAATACTAGTATCTTTTATTTTTATTCAAACAAACAAAAAATAATAAAGTCAAGTTTTACTTTTGATTTTCTTTTCTCAAGAAATATTTCGTTTACATTCATGTAAATAAAGTAGAATAATAATAGCAAGATAACCATATTGCCATTTTTTGTCTTTAATTATAACATGATATGTTTTATTTGATTTTGAAAATGAATCGAGAACTTGAAATAAAGTTTCCGGACAGTGAATAACAGAAGAATCATTCGATTGAAATCTATCAACAATAGTTAAACGACGATCCTTTAAATCACAACTTCGTACTTGATATAATTTTTGACCAATAACAATCGTATAAAGATAGTTATCATAACTATAAAGTTGATAAGATAATTGACCAAAAAGAGTTTTTTCGTTTGTTTGATCATTATTTAAAAATATCAAATAACTTTGTAGTTGACTTGGATTTGGTTCAACAATGCAAATCTTGTCTCCAGTAAACACTTTGATTTCATTTGAAAATTTAACACTATATAAAAGAAGATTTTATGTAAAGAAACGAAGATATATATATATTTGTATATATTTACTTGTAGCGATCTTTGTACTCTTTGGAGAGAGAAGCTTTAACTGTACAAAGTGGTTTTAAATCACAAGCAACTTCAAATTTATCATTTTTTAATGAAAATGTTCGTGTAATAGTATATTTCATATTTCTTATGTGTGAGATACAGACGGCAGGTGAATTAGACAAATTTAAATGACGTTTGTGCGTGTTGTTAAGCTACGTGTAAATACTATCGTGATGCTTCGCTGTGTTAATGTCACAGCCATTTTTTTTTCTTATATATACTCTTGTTATTGTGATGATTGCTGCTGAAGTCGAGTGATTCTTGTTGTTTTTTTTTGGTGTCAAAGAAAAGCAAATATTGATTCATGAAGAAATATTTTCTCTTTGCTTATGAGGACTGTCCATGTAAAAGTGAAGCAATCAAGTCGCCTTGAAAAGCTCCCCACAAAAAGAAAAGACAATGTTTTGTTTTTATTTCATCTTTTTTATGAGATCATTTTTTTATTAGAAATAAAAAAAACAACTTTCAATGTGGATCTCGAAAGAAATTCAACATTGTCTATATTCTATTTTACTTTTTCTTGTCATCATTCGAGTACGTTCATATACTTTCAAATATTTAGTGGCAATTTTATATGGATTAATTACTTTTTACATGTTTTTTTATTAAAACTTCAATATCATATGTGAAAAACTGAGTGATCAACTTGATAATCCTAAAGTAATATTAAATTTTTGAGCAGTTTATTTTGTATACTTCTTATATTCAAATTTAAAAGTTACAATTAGTTCTAAACATCTATTTTTAGAAATATACATTCTTCAAAACTGTTTCTTCCACGTATTTCTCTAATATAAAATATGAAGTATAAAAAGTGATGAATATTCCAGAACAATAATAAATCAAATTTTTTAACTATCCTGCAAGAGTCATACTTATTCTTTACTCAAAAATTGAAAAGATTCATAACATCGCTGAGAATCATAGTTTTTTCCTTGTCTTACATCAATAGAGTGTAATTGTTTACTTTAAATGAAATCTTTGATTTGGTATATTTATATTAATATGTATTTAAATATGAAGGACAAATACGTTTTTTTAAAATAAATTAACAGAAGAACAAGCACAAAAGAAATAACAAACAACCAGAGAAAAAAAAAACTATGATGATAAAAGTATGACATTAAACGATCTTGCTGTTATAAAGTTTTTTTCTGTACACTGAACACGAAATAAAAGAGCGCCGTAAAAAAACAAGAAAAAAGAACAAATGAAGATGATAACAATACCATATAATTTTTGTCAAACAATCTCAATACCGATCCTAGAAAATAGAAACAACACATTTAAACGTTTTTTAGTTATTCCAAAAATATATATATCATGGAAAAACCCATAACCAAATAATAAACTCAAACCATAAACCGTTTAATATAGAGTATGTGCTTTTTTACCCAGTTTTTCTTTTCAAAGTTTTATTTTTTCTATAAAAAAATGTTTACATTTTATATGTGAATATTATTAAAAGAAATATATATATATATATATATATATATTATTCATTTTCTTACCTGTATGCTAGACATAACACTATTAGCTAATGATGATAATCGACCAGCTGCCTTGGAAACACCTTCTTTAAAATCTGCTTTCATTGTTGCTAAATCAGGACCATGATAAGTTGAACGATCTTGAGATTTTTTATTTGGATCAGAAAAATAGTCTTCACTTGAAATACTTGTATTACCTTGAAAACGTGATGTTACATTATTACGATCATTCTAGAAAATAGATATTGATTGATTTACATATAAAAATATTTATTTGTTTCTTTTTACATACATCGGAATCTTTATTAAAAAATTGATCACTTGATATTGCTTTAGCGTTGGAAAAACGTTTTTGAGCATCACTATCATTCGTTCCGCTAGCATAAGATGTTGATGTTTTTGATGATGAACTAATCGAAATGAAAATAACAATATTCTTTTTTCGATTAAAATATTTTATTTACCTATAACCACCACTATTAGCAGTAGAACTACCATAATTTGAAGAAAACGAACTGCTGGTTTCATTTGAGCCGAAGTCTTTCGTTGGAGTTTTACGATCAATAACTTCCCATTCAGAACTAAATGTATCCGTATTTTTTGATGCAGTTTTCGGTTTGAATAGATCATCATCCAATCTAAATTAAGAAAACAAAACAAAGAAATTATTATTAAAAAATGAATCCTACAGATGTAATGATATTTAATATAGATTAGTACAGTTGTTTCGATTGTCTTTACAATTCACCAAGTGAAACTAATTAAGATGAAAAAACAACCACGAAAGACCTGATATCGATGGGTTTTCAATTTTCTGATATGTCGTAGTGTTTTGACAACTATTATGCTTCTTTGAACACGAGAAATGTAATGAACATTTTGTTAAAACAATAAATTCGAATGCCTCGTCTTTATTTGCTTGAGAGCTTCCTCCCTCGCAATAGGTTTACTACTTAGGATGGTTCATTTTCAGATATGTGTGACTTTACTAAGAAACACTTCCAATAAAAAATCCAGTCTGATACGTCAAAGTAGAACGCACTTCTGGCTTATTCATATTCCATTTATAGTCTCTCGCAGAATTCCTAGAAATTAGTTATTACAAGCGGCACAGAGCTGGAAATGATTACAATTTAAACTCAATACTTGTATGCAGTTTTTGTTCGAAAAGAATCTTCAAATTCACCTGCACTCATTTTTGTTGATCATTTTAGTACATATAATTTTGAAATAGACAAAAAAAAGCCATTTGACTTCACGGCACAACACTTCGCTTTTTTCAGCATAGATATCAACTTTAAAAAAATCTAGTCAAATAAAAGTTTACTTTCACTTAGACCATTAAACTTCCCTCCCCAAAAATATTGGTTACATCTTAAATCGAGTGAAAGGAGTTTCAATTTTCCTGATTGAAAATCATGTTCTGACAGAAAACGGTAAATAAGTTTAGACATGAATTTTTTCATTCAAATCCAAAAAAAAACATTGAAATGGCACACTCATAATATATTTAAGTAATACATTTAAAAGTACGTAACAGATGACTCTGTCGTACTTAAATTACATGAGAATATTTATCTAATGCTGATGCAAATACAAAGGTAGTCTTCCCAGAACTTAATAAACTACGAAAATGTCTCAGAAGACGCGGTAGTAGCGTCGAAATTCCTTCTAGAAATTAGTTAAAATCTAGTCGTTTTTCAAAAAAAACATATATTCTGAGAGAGGAAACTTCGTAGTATCTTCCTATGATAAAACCACAGATTTCTTTACTGTTCTCCACTTATTGAATAGCAGACAAGATCTTTAATTTTATGTAAATCTATTTATGCAACTGGAAATTACTAAAGAGTTAGTTAAGATTAATAAAAAGAAAACTTGCACCGTTTTTCTAAAAACAACGTTTCGAATCGAGCGAAGACTACTAATATCTCACATGTGCAAAACAATTGTTCTTTAAGGATAAACAACAATTAATCGCAATGTAGAATTGGTTACATGCTCAAAACAAGTGTAATTTTTTTTCACGTCTTACAAATCTCAGTTTATACACATATGATTTAATTGTACACAGCACGGCGTGAGAGTGGCACATGACCAATGAAGATGTACTCCATGAAATGAATAAGTAGAGAATCTCGCCGAAAAATGGTAACTGAATGTCGACGTTCACCTTTTGGTTTGATCGACATGTTACAAAAAAAAAGAACTCAAACAATATGGATTATAGTAAATTTCTAGGCAACTACTACTCGCTCTTGTATAATGCTTCCTGCACACCTAGAAGGGTTTGCTAGGCATGCATATTTATACTAGAGATGCCCATCAGATTCATCATGCTGCCGATGCCGTCGTGATGGCAGCACCACTGCTATGAACATCTCTGATTTATCTTCATATTTAGTGTTTGTTGTCCTTAAACAGATTGTTAGTTATTTTCTTCACTTCTGTAAATTATGTCCATATAATACTGGTAAAATTTTTGTCAATTTTAGTTTCTCGTATTGCGATGAATTTTGCACGACGACAATTCATTATAGATTCCTCTTTCGTTTCCTTTGCTATATAGTATTTTTTTTTAAGTTATAAGAAAATCCGAATTAGTATATCACCTAATTTCTTTTAAGCGTATCGATAAATGAAAATATTAGAAAAAGCGCATGCATATTTAATATAACAAAACTTTAATACTCTCTAGAAATCTCAATATATTGATCAATATCTCCTATTGATGATCTGTCATAATTAGAGAATAAATTAAATGGAAACTTTTTTTTGACGAAAATATGAGTTAAAGTTCATACTTTGATCGACTACTAAAGCCAGATGTGTTATAATCATCAAAAAAATCTCGATTTTTTGTTGCCAGTGAAACATTTCGTGTTGTTGTCACACCTTCTTGTTGAATTGTTTGCATATCTGTCATAGCACTATGACTGACACCACTAGAACAAAAAAAAACACAATCAAAACAAGATGTCCGTTATAGCTTTAATTACAATAAAAAAAGCAAAGCTTACCTTCGATTACCAAAACCCATACCAAGACGTTCCATTTGTTCGGCTTTTTGTGGATTAGATTGTTTTAATTTTGCTTCTTCTAATTCACGTTGTTTACTTAAATCTTGATAAGCAAATTTAAGACCTGCCCTAAAATTAAAAAAAAAATAGATAATTCATTATTTTTATGATGAAAATAGAAAAAAAAATCACTCTCTAGTTGTACATACATTTGTTTTTCAAGTTGTTTTTCTGTTTCTTCCCGGTTTTTAATTTCAAGATGAGTTTGTTGTTCTCGCAATTTTTCTTGTTCGTGTACATTACGTTCAATTTCTTTAAAGTCAGTTGATACTTTTTGTGCACCAAATCCCTTCTAAACATTTCAAAATAAATCATTTAAATAAAAGAAACAAACAATTAGTATGAACCTTTTTAGGTTGTGGAGCTCGACGTTGACCAATAGTTGATTTTTTTGGATCATGTACTTTTGTTGAACCATCATTATTCAATGCGTTTTGATCAATCGATGGTCCTTCTGTTTGTTGTTCGGCTACGAAAAGTAGAAAATAGAGATAAAGAACAAAAAGTTTTAAAAAATTACTTTTATCAAAAGTTTGATTGCCTAACATTGATAAAGATGTGATATTATCTTCCCAAACCGTTTTAGTTGGCGCTTGAGAATGTTCATGAAAAAAATCACCTTCTTTTTTCTCACTTGTTGAATGACTACGTTCACCTTTATGGCCTTCTTCAAGAAAAAGCTAAATCAAATATAATAAATATCATTAAATATTCATCGTTTTATTAAGGAAATCAAGATGGTTTCTAATACTTTTCTGCAATTTGATCTTTCATTTCAAAATGATTATCTCAGAAACTGTCTATAGTAGAAATGAATAGGTTATTAAACTGTTAAACTTTGTTCCTAGATTCAGCAAAACTCAACTTTTACGTATTTAAATTTATATCACAAACAACAATACAAATAGAAAATAATCCTTAGAGACACAAAAAGCTTTGGTTTCAGTGCAATCAAGATGATTCATAATTCAAGATAATGTTTCTTTTAACTCACTGGTCTCAATTGAAATAGTACTTGAGATACAAAAATCAGCAATAAAAACAATCTTCTCCGTCTTTCATATAGTATCATATCAATCAACTAATCTGACAAAGGAAGGTTCTCAAATGTGACTCGCCATGGAACTGGTATTTTACCCATAATTATAACTCAACGAGACTAGTAGAAGCCTATAAGAGTTTGTCCCCATGCAAGCTATAAGAGTTTTACTAAATTTTTCATTTCTTGCAAGGTATTCGTGAGAAAATCGAATTTCAAAATTTCAACCTGAAATTTTTCCCATGCTTAAGTCTCATGGACTTTAGAATGTTCGCGAAGTTTCATCCCCAACGGATATGTCATTCTTGGGATATCGAATCTTGAAAAAACTACTTTCTTAATGATACATGATTGCTTTAGTATATTCCATTTCTCAAGCATTATACATTACTGTAAATGCAAATTTTCAGATAATTCTACGCTCTGCGATATCTACATATAGACCAGTTGTCAGATTGACATTTCAGCATTCGGTTTTTTCACAAACAACTTGTCGGAAATATAAATTCAGTAAAATTGTAATAAATTGAAAAGGACAGTGTATGAGGATGAACTCTTATATTATAAAGACTTTCATCAATCTCATCGAAGTCTACTTGGAGATAAGAAAAATCAATAACAAGAAATACCGTGTGATAATTTTTAACAATCGTCAAAAAATAGAAAAAAACAATTCTCAGAAGAATTCTTTTTCCAAACAATAATAAAAATTCAATGAATTCCCATCATTACCTTCGTTCCATATTGTTGCATTGCTTTTGTCGCCAACTGATGAAGTTTTTCACGATAAAGTTGTGCAGCACGACTATTATATTTTTGTTGAGTATCTTTTGTATTACAACCATGTTGTTGAAAAAATGCATCCTAATCATAAAAAATAAAAAAAAGTTCTTCTCTTATGATTATAGAACAGAAAACACTTACAGCATTGGCATTGCCACCAACTTGCATGGCTCTATATAAACAAAAATACGAAATTATAGAAATTCAAAACGTTCAATAAAATATACCGAAGTTGAAGCCATCCCCAACTCGTATCAAGATTAGTAGAACGTATAAATGATAAATGAACACCAAGACCACGATGCCTTGCTGAACAATCAATACATAAGAATACACCATAAGTTACTGATGCCCATGTTGGATTTTTAGCATCACAATCAAAACACACCTATCAAACGATACAAAATATAAATACTAATACAATAATTATAGGCAAACCTTATTTGCTGGAAGTGTTCTTAATCGTTTAAAAATAGTGTCAATATCAGCTTTGGTTGGATCTTCCATTAGATTTTTCTTAACCTTGATTAGTGTAAATCCTGTTTATTTAAAAGTAAAAAGCAAATAAACTGCCAGCCAACAGTTGTTCTCTATCATAATTCGTTACTTGCATCGTCAGCAATACGCCAATTGGTTCAATCTATCAATAAAAAATAAATTACTAAAACGTAAATTTCTAAAATATAATAATTTATTTTTCTATTTAAAATAATTTCTATTTTAATTTTCAAAAAAAAATATCAAACGACATCTATACGATAATTTCATTTGTTTTAAAGTTACCCTGTTGGGTACGAATTAAAAAGAGCATTGAAATTATCAGACAATAAATAATTCTTCGTCATTTGTATTATTGATTGAAATTTCAGGAATTTCAAAATGTTCGGAGGTACCAGTCAATTTTCATTTGGTGGTAGTACAGCACCTTCAAATCGTATGTATTCAAAATTACATGATATTTCATTTATTTTTTTTTGTTTATTTCTTACAGCTTTTGGTGCAACATCAACAACTACCACTGCAGCTCCGGCAACAACTGGATTTTTGTTTGGTGCGACAGCTACACCAGCAGCTAGTACAGCTGCTCCTTCATTAAATTCAACATTTACATTTGGTACTCCAACTGGAACTGTATCAACAGCAACGCCAGCTTCATCACAACCACTTACATTTGGTACTGGTTTACCAAGCACAACAACTATTCGCCCATTTGGTAGTACAACTACATTTGGCACTACACCAGCTTCTACAACATCAGCTACTGGAACAACAGGTAAAGAGAACAAAACAAAAATAGTAATAATAAAATTATCAATTGAAATTTCTTTTTTTTTTTTACTAGGTTTCGGTGGAACATCTTTATTTGGTACAACTCAACCAGGAGCTCCAACAACATCAATATTTGGTCCATCAACAACATTTGGTACTGTACAAACTGCGCCAACAACTAGTATGTTTGGTTCAACAGTAACAGGAACAACTCAAGTGGGAACAACAGTTAAATTTGAACCTGTAGCTGGACAAGGTAAATAAATAAATTTTTAAATCAAATATAAGATCTTCTTCTTTGTTTAGATACAATGCGTACAAAAAATAATACATTTCAAACAATAAATACTAAACTTCAATGTATATGTGCAATGAAAGAATATGGAAATAAATCCATGGAAGAATTACGTATGGAAGATTATCAATCAAATCGAAAATATCCAACAACACCGTCATTATTTGGTTCAACAACTTTTTCATCAACAACACCATTTAATCCAGCACCATTTGGCGCTAGCAGTAATTTAAATCCATTTCTTTTAAATTATAATTATGAACATATGTTTTTTTGTTTTGTTTCTAGCAACATATTCTGCTGCATCGACAGCACCTAGTATTTTCGGTAATACAACAACTACAACAACAAGTCCATTTGGTATAATTAATCTTTTTAATACAAAAAAAAAATTATTTTTATTTAATCGATTATTTTTAGCTGCAGCGGCGACTTCAACACCTTCATTTGCATTTGGTACAAGTACAGCACCAGCAACAAGCATATTTGGAACGTCAGCAGCCACAACAACTAGTCCGTTTGGTACGGCAACATCAACAACACCAGCAACAGGCTCAATTTTCGGTACAACACAACCATCGACAAGTATTTTTGGTGCAACAACAACGACAAATCCATTTGGTGCTAAGTCAACTACAGCTCAACCTACATTCGGTAAAAGTACAAATTTATTTTCTAAAAGAATAATAAAACGATTAAATTTTTAAGGTTTCGGAACAGGAACAAGTTCGTCAACACCATTCTCTTTTGGATCTCAACCACCAACAAGTACAAGTATATTTTCACAACCAACAACATCTACACCTTTCGGTACGACAGCTCCAACTACTACAACAAGTATATTTGGTGTTCCAACTTCCACAACAACAGTAACTCCAACAATTACAAATCCATTTGGTACTCAAACAGGTAACACGGGTATATTTGGTACAACAACAAGTACAGCTGCACCTGTATTTGGAGCTACAACAAGTACACCAGCATTTACAGGCTTCGGTTCTACTGCACCAGCAGCAACAACAAGTATCTTTGGTACTCCGGCTACATCAACAGGTACAACAGCTCCAGTTTTTGGTGGTTTTGGTACGTCAACAGCTGCTCCAGCTGCAACACCATTTTCATTTTCATCAATAGCAACAAGTTCTGCACCGACTCTATTTGGTTCAACAGCACCAGCAACAACAACTTCATCACTTTTTAATCCTCAACCATTTACTGGCTTTAATTTTACTCAAACTCAACCAGTAGCATCAACAGCAGCTCCATCGTTTGGTTTTTGTGCACCATTTGGATCAACTACAACAACAGCAACAACAGGTTTCGGTGCGCCAACAAATATTACTCAAACGCAAATTCAACAATCAGTATCATTAGTTCAACAAAGATTTCTTGCTGCATCACTTCTTGATCCATTTGCTAGTCGTGGAAAAAAAGATTTCAATAATATTGATCAAATAAAACCGCCAACTGATTTAATTGTTGTTTCAACATCATCAACAACATCAACAACTGTTACAACATCAACATCATCTTCAATAACATTACCTTTACAATCAAATTCACGTAAAACATCTTCAGCGCGTCCATTAGTTGATATTCGTTTTAAATTAAAACCTGTTTCTTCATCACCATCACCAAATATAATAAATGATGAAGTAAAATCACCTAATCAACCAACAACACCAACATCAGGACAAATAAAAAGTCCATTAACAGCAGATTTTAGCGAAGAAGAAGAACTTGTTTTAATTGGAAGAAATAAAATGTCGAAATTACGTTTATCAAATGATTTTATTGATTCATCATTTCAATCTGAATCTATTCGTTCACTTTATCCATTAAGACGTCTTGCTGAACTTGAAACACTAGCTAATATGAATAATAATACAAATATTCTATCAACTGTTCATACAATACCATCATCAACATCATCTACAACGACAACGATTGATACTGCTTCAGCTCATGTTTCATCAACAACCGTTAATAATGAACAAAGTCTAAATCCAGCAAGTATGTTTATTTTAAACAGAAAGGACGTCGTCGAACTTTGTGAGCTATCCTTAAATAGGATGGCATATGTGTGATTTTATAGAGCAATTTGTGGCGCATTGAATGATGTATAAGAAATCAAGTTTTATGGGAAATTTTGATGTGCTAAATGTCGACACATTGATCATAATGTTTGTGTGATATTATAGGGTAATCATATCGATTCTGATCTCTAAGATAAACTTATGCAAATATTGTTATTAAACTCAATTCGATTCAGTCATAGATGCTCTTCAACTTTCTATAATCAATAATTTTCATCGTTGCTTTCTTCATGCTTAGAAATAGTCCCTTTTCTAAAGTCTAGGTTATTTTCTTGGCTAAACAATGTTTCGGTGTGTTCAACTCTGTATCACAGAACAAATAAGTAACAACGTAAAATTTTATTTCTAAGATTCTTCTGTAGAATACTCTATTTTCCTATTTAAAATTTTAATGTATTAATAATCAGTATAGCATCCTTGATGATATGATATGAATATCTTCTTTATAAATGGAAAATATTTTCTATCTCCAGATTCCTGAAGGGGGGAGGTACGGATATAAAGAAAAATTTATTTTTGAAATGTACATGAGATATTTATAGATTCTTATACAATTTCATGTATAAGTCAAGCATGAATACTCGACATACGAATCCAAAAAGGCAATAATAAAAATAACAGACATCATTTCTATAATCCTATAGTCGTACTCCTCTCGAGGAATCTGGAAGTTAAAAAATCTTTTCTCGTTTATAAGGAAGTTATTTATAGCCGCTTATCAAGAAAAGCTGTGCTGATCATTGATACATAATATTTTTAATAGGGCCGCTGATTATTGTTAAAATATTGTCAATACACCGGTTTTTTCAAATACGAAAATTGGCTATTCTAAAGAGCCATCTTGCAAGTTGACAATGTGTGCCTGCTTTTTCCAAAGATGTTATCTGTGAGACACATAGAGCTGAACAGTGTGCAAAATTTAAGAATGTTTTTCGTTGATATTCATTTGCTCTCCGGTACAGTTGAACACACTGGAATATCATATAGTCAAAAAATAATCTAGGTCTAAGAAAAGGGAGCAATCTCAAGTATGAAGCAACAATGAAAACTATTGGTTATGAGAAATTGAAAAGTACGCATAACTGAATTAAATTGACTTTCAATAGAAGTTTACATAACTTTGTCTTAATACATCTTAAGAACGACAATGTGCATGAGTATCCCTTAATATTGTTCAAGCATTATAACCAAGGTATTGGCCCTTAGCGTATGAAAGCTTCTGTAATACTTGATTTCTTATATATTATTCGATGTGCCTGCATTTGCTCTATCAAATCACAAAATATGACATGCCGGTTTGAGATAGATCACTGAAACTGGCGAGACCCTTTTTTAGTCAAAAACATTGAACAATAGTTTGCAAATCTTTTATTTTTATTTTTTCTAGATAGCAATCGTGGAATGTTACCTCTTCATCATTCTACTCCACTTATTGTTCATAAACAACCATCACCTCCAATGTCTCATCCATCAACAACACTTGTTCAATCACCAACATCTCCGCCTCCACCATCAACAACACCACCCCCATCATCAACATCAACTAATTTAATTCAACGAACAAAACCTTCACATGATTATGATTATACAAATATAACAAAATCAAATTCTAATGCTTATCATTTACCAAAATTAATACGTGAATATTATTATATGAAACCATCTATGTCAGAATTAAAATCATCATTTGATGATCAAGGTCAATGTATTGTAAAACAATTTACAGTGGGACATGAAAAATATGGCTCAGTTACATTCTATGGTCAAGTCAATGTTACCGGTCTTGATCTTGATCGAATTAGTAAAAATGAATTCTTTTTTTGATAATTTAAATTATTTAAATTTTC